GGGGGGGGTTGAATTGAATGATCAATTATTAGACCCGGACGCGCCAACACTTGCTTCGCAAGACTAACTCAAGGTATCCCCTAAAGGGCTACCTTTCGTGAACTCTGCACCGCTTTTTCTGAGAGATACACCAATGTTCTCTACTCCTTCCGTTTCCAACTTGGATGCGACCGCAATGGTCATGGTAAACCACCTTCGCTCATGGAGTTGTACCTCAGACTTTGGGTGAAGCCAGAGTACTGAAACCTGGATCAAGGACCGCATGGGCCAAAGCATTTGGGACAAACCCAGTTTGACCACTTCTTAGACGGAGCCCTATCTATCTATCTATCTGTCTATCTACCTACCTACCTACCACCCTACCACCCATCGGCGATTGTGCCATGAACTCTGAACCCAATGTCCGCCTTGATGACGGAGCCACGAGTGGCGTAGCATCAAAAACGAAGAAGTCGAACACAGTTTGGTCATGTTGTGAGGATGAGAAGTGTCAGTCTCCAGAGTTTGTGTCTATCCGTGCCAGAGCACTTAGGGCTGCCTAGAGAGAGACTTGGTTCGAAGACCTGCCAACCCAAAAACATCCTTACCTCTAACTGTGAACCATACTATATACCTGTTGAGCAAACCCCCAGCCGCTGATGAAGCTTCTCCTTATAGCAGATTTACAGTGTAGTGTGTATGTGTATATGTGTATATAGATATATAACACATTGCTCCACTCCATGCTCAATTTGGCCAACATGGCATCCTTGTCTATCTCTGTCTCTCTCTCTCTCTCTCTCTCTTTCTCAAGTCAGACATCCCCACCACCACATGCCCACTGCTGTGTGCTTTCAACTGAGATCACCCAAGCTCTCATCGTCTTCACTCGCACAAGCGTCTCCACGATCACCCGCGCTGCCTTTTTCACGGTCTTCGTTCGCACCCGGCCCATGGCAACACACGGAGAGCGAGCTCGGAGCGAGAGCGAGACGTCTCGGGCCACAGCGACCTGCAGGGGCGAGTGTCGGGCGAGCTGTCGCTGGGACTGCGCAGCGGGCCGACGGGAAGTCGCCTTCAAAGGAAGAAATGGTGCGGTCGATGCTGCTTCATTTAGCCCTGTTGGTGCACCCCAGATGTCTAGATCTTGGGGTGCGCCGATTTCAGGACCCCACTGGTGACCATCCGAAGTTCCACAAATTCACTGGCTGACAACCCTTGGAGCCACAAGAGCTAACCATCTGAATGGCACGTGACATCCAAGGGAAAGGTAAACAAGCCTATCTATATCTCAAAATTGACGTCCCCCCACAAGATCCCCAACTATGAGACGAAAAAACTATATATACAGACATATATATATATATATACAAACTCCCTAGGACCCCAAGGTCCTCAACCCAAAAGGTCAGCCTCCAATCCCCAGACCACCTTTATAGAAACAAGAAGCTACTAGGGGCTCCTGGCCGTACTAGGAACAAGGACGCTAGACCTGCATCTGCAGATCACGTGACCCGTCCGTCGTCACCGTCGCGGCACCCGGCGCTTTTCGTCGCTTTTCGTTCGTGGCACGCGGCGTGGCACGAGCCGCTTGGACGGAGAGGTGAAGCTGGTTTTTGCCGCTGGGATTGGAAGCCAAAACTTGAGTCATTGAAGAAACTTCCAAAACTGGAAGTTCCATCCCAAGGGAATCATCCGAAAAAGGCTGGAAGGCAATGCTTGAAATTAGCTAGTGATTGAATATGAGGAAGGCAACCGGTGCAAGGACCCAGTTCTGGCTTGCTCAAACGAGACGATTGGAAGGAGAACATCCAACACAAAGTTCTAGCAAACCATAACCCCATATGTGACAAGGAAAATCGTATTCTATAGACATCGTGTTCAGCTTCTGGGTCAGCATACTAGAACAACAAACTTAAACGTAGCCCTCGAAAATCAATCGTGAGGTCGAGTTGTGCAAACACGTTTACATCGGTGGCGCACAGGATACCCATGCAGGAAGAACGGATGATCAGGGATGTGATCCTCACCGTTTGCAGGACACCCTGAAGGTCCATTGGAGAACTGCAAACGTTTGGAGGTTTCAGTTCTCTTTTTGGATTACTTCAACCGTTCTGGAACCACCTATCGGTAGAAGCCGCTCATCCAAGAAAACCAGCCAACCGCGCGCCATGTAGTACACCTCTGCTGGGCTAGCTTTCACCCAGCCGAGACGCGAGACGGGCGGCAGATTGAAGTAGTTTGTTTGAGAAGCATCAAAATGAAAATACACACCTCAAAAATGAAGGGATATCAAAATTTCTTGCTTCTGCTACCTGAGTCAGTATACAGTGTACAACCCCAGAAGGGGGTGCAATTTTGGTCAATGGCTGCTGATTGTGCCAGGCAAAACCTCTCGCAATGAGAATCAACTCTGTGGTTTTGGGGAAGGGAATCACTGCGCCTCGTCAAGCGGAGACCCCTCGTTTTTCAAGGGGCCAGGCTCAAACCCGTCTTCTGCGCACCCGAGGTCCAGCGAAGCGTCGCGAGCTGTGTCTGCAGTGCCTGAAGTCTTCGGTTTGACTCCCTCGAAACCGCTAAGGGCACCTGCCCACCCAAAAGGGCAGACCTGTAGACCATACATACGGTCTGCGCATTTAAAAAGAAGAAAAGGAAGGAAACGAGAGATCAGGAGAATGAAAAGTTTCCACCTAGGCTAACTCTAAGTGGAACGGAAGAGACTGACAACGAGAGGCGACCAAAGACCGACACCGCGGCCGATAGGGGCCGATCCCCCATGTGCAGACCGATAGACCGACAAGCGAGACCGACAGCCGTTGTGTAGGTCGTGTAGGTCATCGGCTGAGATAAATAGATAATTCCAAAGCAAATGATTTTGATTGATTTTGCACAATCACTTAAGTGTGTAATTACAAGCATAGTCAACAACGGGTAGCGAAGAAATCAATCATCAAGCAAAAACAAACAAGCAGCTGCCAACCACATCCAATGAGTTGTTTTGTGAGTGCTGGGATACACCAGCTCCAGATCGTCTGTGACGGGAGTTCATTCTACAGAAGGCTGCAGGACGCCCACTTGCCCCTCTGGCCCCACCGAGTTCGCTGGAATTATGTACATCCGACCTCACATCAATTCGCTACCCGCGGCGTCACGTCTTCCCTTTCGGCGCTGCGGCCATCGGACCGGACGTGAGACACCGAGCGACGAAGAACTCCACCGAGCGAAGCCACACGTGGCGGTGAACCCCTTAATTACCTCCAAGATCACCCATCCTCAGTGCCTCCTCTGGGCCGTTCGTCGAAACGGCTCTGCGGGTCCAAGATCTCCGATGTCATGCTTCATGGAATCCAGACAGTCGACTGGCCCTGTCGCTTGGCCCTGTCGTTGGACCGTCGAGAACTGCCCAAATCGGAATAAGATCCATCTGGGCGGTTGTGACATCCACGCAATTCAGCGCAAGAAGAGTAAGAAAGACAATAATTACTTAATTAAACTATCAAAACATCAATGAATTTAGACAATCACTGCTGCAGCACCCCACCCATCCCACCCAGTCACTGCCTTGGGACGACTTGCCATCAACTCCTGAGAAAGTCAACGAAAAAGCAAACAATGCAGCATCCACTGCCAGCAAAGTGTGTGTCCCAAACCGTCCCCTTCAAGGATGGCAATCGGATGTTGATTTCATCTCAGTCCCAATACAGTAGTGCAATGAGTCCTGCTTGGTGGAAAGGAGGTCGTTGAGTGACCCACAGCTACAGTAGAGGCCATCCCCACTGTCAGTCCAGCTCCGGAAATAGATAACCTTTAGCTCGGTGCTGGACCCTTTTCCCACGCAACTACCCCTTGCTTAACAAACTGCCAGAAGGGGTCTGAAAAAAAGGGAGGGGTCTATCAGTTTTGTTCCTTTTTGGAAGGTGAACAAGTCCTAAACTCTTCCGAGACCAACTAGCGCGGGCCATTCTCGCTTCTAGCGCGGTTGAGCGGGCTGGTTCTTGGGATACCCCCGGCAGCCCGGGTTCCGGCCACCAGTCGAACCATGACGACGAACCAACGGCCCAGCCCGGATGGAAGTCCGGTCCTGCCATTCGCAGCCCAGGACTGGCGAAAGAGAGATGAGTGCCAGGTGTGAAGGTTGATATTTACAAACTGTCTGGTCTCCAGACTCCAGACTAACATGGACCCTGTTCAACCTGCTCATGCAGTTCGTTTTTGGGTGTGAAGTTTGTCAACTCTTCGTTACCTCCCCAGCCAGCTGATTCTGGGCCCACACCTTCCCTGATTTTCATCGGCCCAAACCCCAATATCTTTACCACCCCTTGGGATGGCTCTGGGTTCGAGTTACGTCCGGGAGGAGGCACCTCCGTTTTGGGGATGTGTCGTCGGGTACCATGTGGTTTTGAATGTACATCCTGAATCACTTGAACAAACAAACTAGCCTATCTAGGGCTATTCGGGCACGGTTTCAAGTATCTGGGTTTTGACCAATGTGGCAAACTTTGAAGACCATCCCATCAGCGTAGAGACTCTCGTCTTTTGCAGTATCTTGAAATCCATCTATAGTTCCATCTATAGTGACTCAGGAACGTTGGGAGCTACAAACCAGCCAACGGCTTCTGAACCAGACATGTTTTCGTTGTTTGGTGCCGTGCTCCTCGAGGCCCGAAAGGACCGTCGGTCGAACCGCGTCGGTCCCCGTCTGCCAGTCGCACCTGGGTGGTGGGGTTGGAGTTCTGGCCCTGCGGCGGGCGGAGGCTTGTTGGGCGGAGTCTGCGAAGTAGGGATGCAGAAGAGCCGGGTTGGTCTTATTGATGTATATGATATGTACGTAATATATGTATGTATATAATATATATATATATATGTGATAGAAGATGGTGGATTTGATGCCAGAGATGTGGAGGAGTATACATAACGGCCATTGGAGGGGTGGGGTTGGAGAGCTTCGGGAAAACTGTTGATCCCGTTCTTGTAAATGACCAAATCGACAATTTTGGTGTAAGTAAGAACTCCCTTTTTATGATTTGAATTCGTTGTCCTGGAACTTCCTCTTATGCTTGAAATCACGACTCTTCCCATTTGTCTGAAATCCAGCAAGAAGAACAATGAAAATCCATGCTTGTGATCGTTCGTGAAAACATGGCTCACATCCACTGATCCAACACCGGCCTCGTCCCCATGAAGGTAGGACGGCAAGGTCGGCGAGGAAGTCATGGCTGGCGCGGAAGTCATGTTCCCCGGGCGAAGTCGACATCCACAGCCTACTAGGAGCAAGGCCGTTACTAGGGGCTCCTGGCCTTACGGAGCCAGGACGCTACTAGGGGCTCCTGGCCTTACGGAGCAAGGACGCACCCAGGGGCTCCTGGCCTTACGAAGCAAGGACGCTACTAGGGGCTCCTGGCCTTACGGAGCAAGAACGCTTCTAGGGGCTCCTGGCCTTACGGAGCAAGGACTACTAGGGGCTCCTGGCCTTACTAGGAGCAAGGACG